GTTGGAACAAAAAAATAAAAAATGGGAATAATAATGATGAAGGAAGGTATTAAAAAAAAATGAAATGTAAAAATTTTTGTCGGAAGCTTTTTTTTGAAGTGAACGCGATAATGCACACTGTCACAGTTAGACAATGTAGTCGATTTTTCCAAAGAGACCACGCCTCGCGGTGAAATATTCTTTAAGACAAGAAGACGAGAAAATAGAAAAAAAAGGTTGAGAACAAGAGAAACGGTAAAAGGTCTTCTTGCCTTTTGTATTAGGGGATGCATTCCTTGCGAAATCCATGTTACCGCCACTTGCAAAATAATGTCTCGACTAACTGCTCGGCAAGTGGCACAATGACTGCCCCTGCTCTCTTACCACCCGGAATCGTTCGCGAGGTCCTCAAAGTCACCTGCTGATGTATTCTTCTTCTTCTTCTTTTTCTTCTTTCTCTTCTTTCTCTTCTTTTTTCTCTCTACTTTGTAATTTTCTAAATCAAAAAGCCAGCTCTCTTGACTCTCCTGTCAAGAGTTCTCTTTCTCTTTGCTTTCAATTATTTTTTTTTACAATTTTAATTTTCTTCTTTTTTTCTATTTTTGGTAATTATATAATTATTTAATTTTTTTTTAATTTCGGTTATTATGTAGTTTCAAATATTTAATTTTGTTATTTTTGATAATTATTTAATTTTTTTTATTTTTGATAATTATGTAGTTTTAATATTTAATTATTTTATTTTCAAATAAAAGAACATTTTACTTGAAACTATAAATTAAATTTTTCAACAATAAAACAGGACAAAAGATCAAAAAACAAAAGGAAAAAAATTTTTTTTTCAATTATTCGATAATAGTGTTTTAGATTCATAGTCTGGGGATAAACAGGTGCAATTTTTCATGACCTGAGATATCAATTTCAAATGCTCAGCGGAGAACTATATAATATATAATATTGGTCCATTGGATGTTGAAATCAGTAAGATCTACGCGCGGCATTGTTCGTGAAGAGAGGAAAATTTACGAACAACTTGGTTTCTCTTCTTCACCATCAGAAATTGATTTATGTTTGTTCGTCTTATGAGACGAGGGTACACTACTTGACGACTTTCCCTCTTTTCCAAAATGACGACAACGACAACGCCGACGACGACGACGACGACAACAACAACGACTATACACCACGACCCAAGGGACTTTGAAACAATCGCGAAATATGAGAGTGGAAAACTTGAAGAATCCTTGACGCTCAAAACTTGAAGAATTTCCCCCGTCTTATATTGATATTTTACCTGCTTTAAGCTTCAAGACAAAAGGCAAAAAATGTTTCTTTCATGCATTGTTATTTTTATATATTTTATATATAATGAAACAACACTTGAGATTTTACAACCAATTTTATACTCATATACCCAAAAATGGTGAGATTATAAAAAAAAGGAACTTTTTTATGTGGGGAAAGAATTTAAAAAATTAAAATTGACATTTTTTGGGGGAAAAAAGAAGAAAAATCATAAGAAAAAACAAATTTTTCCATTTCCATTAGGGACCATTCAAGTCCCGAAAAATTGCGTGACATCATTTATGAACGCTCCCTATGTAACATTTTAGTTATATATTATTGTTTAATAATCAAAACTGAAAAAAACGGTAGCAAAATTTTTAGGAAAAATAAAAAAATTCAAGCTATGACATATTATGAAAAATTATGAATAAACTAAAGAAAAATTTCGAAAAGGAGCAACAGCAAGTTCAAGTTGTAACGTGATACAAAAATTTAATTATTTTTCAAAATTCATGCTGTAATCCTTTAAATATTCAATTATTATCTAAAACTTGTGAAATTCATTTTGAAATAAATTTTTATTAAAAAATTCTACGAGAATTCAATTATTCAAATACAAAAATGAATACTTTATTGAATTATTCTTAAAATTTAATTCTTATAAGGAACTTTAGTAAAATTTATTAAAATTGAATTCTTTTGAAGAATTTTAATAAAATTTTCAAGAAATAATTGCATTTTTCGAATCTGTAAAATATTTTTCAAGGTATGTAACGGAAGTATTATTCTATTGCGTGTTCCAGAAATTTACGAAATTGTAACATAATTTCCAAAATAAGCAACTGAAGTTTTCTGCAGTTACGTGTTTCGTAAAATTACGAAACTGTAACAAAATTTGAATAAAAAAAAAAAAATTAAAAAAAAAAAATTAAAAATTTATGCATAGTCACATGGTTCTGAAAATTATAAAACGTTTCAAAATATTACGTAAAACGTAACAGCAGAAAACTTCAGTTATGCTTTTTTCTGAAAATTCCAACAAAAATTTCTAACAGTGTACAATTTTAACTGAAATTCATTTTTCAATCAATTATAATTAGAAAATTCGACGACAATTTAATTATTTAAATACAAAAATAAGTAATTTATTGAATAATTGAATGTTTCTTAAAATTCAATTCCCATAAAGAATCGTTATCAACAAATATTCAAATAATTCAATTCTATCAATGAATTTTAATAAAATTTTTAAGAATAATTACATTTTTCGAGAAATTCGATTAAAATTGTATTAAAAATAATTGAAATTCAACGATAAGTTTTATTATTTGTGAAAATAATTGAATCCCTAAGAAGCATATTATTACTTTTGAACAATATTTAATATTCATGTAAATAATTGGATTCTTACAAAAAAATTTAAAAGAAAAACATTTTTTTAAATAATTGATTTTTTCGAGGAATTGAAATTAAATTTTTAAAAATAATTACATTTTTTGATCAATTCCTGTAAAATCGTATTAAAAATAATTGAAATCCTGTGATGAATTATATTATTTATGAAAAAATTGAATAGTTGTTAAGAATTTTATTAAAATTTTCAAAAATAATTGAATTCTACAGAGGAATGTTATTATTTATGAAAATAATTGAATTTTTGCGAAAAATTTTATTAAAATGTTTAAAAAGAATTGAATTTCAGTAAAAAATTTTGTTATTTTTGAAAATAATTGAATCCCTAAGAAGAATTTTATTATTTTTGAACAATATTTAATTTTTGCGAAGAATATTATTACTCTTGAAAATAATTGAATTTTTGCAATAATATCGAACTTTTACAAAATTGAATTTTTTTTCGTGTTTTTAACTAAAAATCTTCCATAAATTTATTATTTTTAATAATTTTTGAAAAAATTCTTTAATATTTATAAAAATAATTGAATCTCTGTGAAAATAAATTGAATATTTTTGAAAATAATGGAATTATTGCAAAGAAATTTATAAAAAATTTGTAAATAATTGAATTGCTGTGAAATATTTGTTATTTATAAAAATAATAAAAGGTTTTGTTTAGAATTTTATCAAAAAATCTTTAAAATAATTCATTTCTTTTGGAAAATTCTATTAAAATAGTAGATATTGAAAATCATATTGAATGGAGGAGAATTTTTGAAAAAAAAATTGAATTTGTTAAAAAGAATTTCATTAAAATTTTTGATAATAATTGAAGTTTGGAGAAAAATTTTAATATTTATAAAGATAATTGAAATTTTGACGATAATTTTTTCAAACCTTTGACCATAATTAAATTTTTGGGAAGAATTTTATTACTTTTGAAAATAATTGAATTCTGCAGACGAATTTTTGAATAATATTTCTTTTTAAATATCTAATTGAATTCTTTTGTCAAATTTTATTGAAATAGTAGATATTGAAAATAATTGAATTTTTATAAATTATAGAAATTAATGAAATTTCTACGAAGAATATTATTAAAATTATTTTGAAAATAAATTGAATTGTTAAAAAGAATTTCATTAAAATTTTTGAAAATAATTTAATTCTTTCAAGAAATTTAAATAAAAATGTATTGAGAATAATACATAAATTCTAATAAATAAATGATAAGAAGGCTTTTTAAAAAAATTGAATTTCTTTGATGAATTTTAATAAAATTTTGTCGAATATTTACATTTTTCGAGAAATTCCATTAAAATTGTATTAAAAATAATTGAATTTCTGCGATGAGTTATTTTATTTATGAAAATAATTGTAAATCTATAGTTTTTTATTATTTATGAAAATAATTGAATCTCTGTAAAAAACATTTGATTATTCATGAAAATAATTGAATTATTGCGAATAAAAATTGTGAAGGCAACTCTTTTAAAATTGAATGAAGAAAATTGAATTAAAGAAAAATTAGATTTCAAGAATAAGCACAGTAACTTTAGAAAACAATAATTTTCCAGGATTCCAATCAAAATTCCCTGATTTTTCTAGATTTTTTCAAGGTTTATAAAATTTCTCGACATTTCCAGGTTTTCCAGGTTTCCAGATTGCGTGGCAAATCCTGAATTTTCAGTTTTCTTCTTACTTTTATTTCAATTTTCTTTGTGCTTTTATTTTTTATTTTCCTTGTTTTTATTTTATATTTTCCTTTTTTTTAATTTTTCTTCTTCTTGTTTTTTTTATTTATTTTTCTTCATCTATATGTTTTAATTTTTTTTTCTTCTTGCTTTCTTCTTCAATTTTTAATTTGTGCTTATTTTTCTTGTTTTTCTTTCAGTTTTTAGTTTTTCTTGCTTTCTTTCATGGTTTTTAGCTTTTTTCTTGATGTATTTTGTTAATTTTCTTGTTTTTTTTTCTTTTTTAGTTTTTTCTTAATTTTCTTCTCTTTTATTCTTTTTCTTCTTAAATTTCTTATTCAATTTTTGTTTTTTATTTTTCTTTTCGTTTTTCTCTTCGTTTTCATTTTTTTTTTTGACATTTTTTATGTTTTTTATTAAAATTGTTCCAAAAATTTGATTATTTTATATTTTTCAAAAATTCAATTATTTTTAAACGATTTTACAAAAAATTTAATTGTTTTAAAAAGATTTTATCAAATTTAAATTATTTTTAAAAGATTTTACCAAAATTCACTTGTTTGGAAATTTACAAATATTTTTAAAAGAAAAAAAACTTGGATAATAATTACAGTTACAAGATATCATTTTTGTTGCAACTGTAGTAGTAAAGTATGGTTGTGAACGTTTAATTTTAAAGTAATTATTGCGCATGAGTGACAATGTATAAAGGGGGGTCATCACCAGTAATAAGACGGGGGGACAGTCTGTAACTTACCGCGAATAAATTAAGACGTTGCTCTACGACTAATAAATTATATCTTTATATTAATAACTAATCTGTTTTATTCTATCATTTCCTGACAAAAACATTACTACACAACACTCAATTAAATAAACGACTTTTTCGACTGCTTTTTGTATTTTTAATCGACTAATCGACTTTTTTTGTGTTTTAAAGTGGATCCTAGGCCTTCAAGTCGTAAAATTATTATACTTTTGCAGTCTATCAACTCTAACAATTTTGAATCTATTTTTTTCTGTACTTTGTAGGTTTAGAAATTTGAGAAATATAGAGAAAGAAGGAAAGAAGGAAGGAGGGAGGGAGGGAGGGAGAAGCTGAGTGAAAAAAGGTGAAATTATATAGACAATTTGGAGGTTGTTAAAATTTGAAGAGGTGGTCGTTTTCGTCACGCCTTTTATACTAGAGGCTATGAGTTTTTGTGAATATTGTATTGGAAGGGCCTTATTATTACTTACTTTAGTTTGTGAAGAGCGCTTTATTCCCCATGGGTCATGGAATAATTGTGCGTTAGTGGGTCCCTGTCATTCTCAAGTGCCTGTGGGCAATGGAGCCTGGGATGCTGGAGTCGAGTGTTGGTGGTAAAACGGCAAACTTTATAAAATGTAAACGGAGAACACAGGTGCATAGAAGTGAAGTGGAACCCCCCTGGTTTTGAAAACGGTTGACTTGCCATAGTCAATAGTGTCCACTCAATCCACTTCAAGTGGATTCTCTCTCTCTCATTCTCTCCCTGTGTTACCGATACTCCAAAACACCTCGAGCATCCATTGTTCTCTGTAAAAGATATACTTCCCGGAAATTGTGATACCTGGGCCCCTCTAATTATCCGTCTCTCGATGGTTTAAAGTCCGGAGCCAGTCACAGTGGATGTTGACGTCGCGACTTGTTCTCGAGATAAAAATTAGTCAAGGGATGAATACTTGTTTCTTTCATTGTCTGTGGAGGTAAGGATTTTCAAGGATTTGTTGTCCAAGGAGAATATTATCTTGTATTTTTATTTTTAAAGCTCGTTTGAGAAATTCCATTTTCGACCCGGGGTATTTTGGTTTTTTTTTCTTATTTTTCTTTTGCGAGCTCAATTTAAATCGGTTACATTTTGAAATGACTTTTACTTTTGCCGGCAGTAAAAAAAAAATAACTGATTGGTAGTAAAAATTGGCTGATTTCCAATAAAAAAAAAAGATTTACCAAAATTAGACATTGCTCAAAATCACACAAATCCAAGACTTTATCATTTTTAATAAGAATGTAAAAAATTATTTTTGAGTAAAAAAATACAATTATATAATTATTAGTAAAATAATAATTATTCACTTTTGTAGTTATTAATCGTTGTATTCCAAATAATTGCAGTAATTCAATTATTTTCAAAAAAAATAAATAAAATTCTTATAAAAGTGAACTATGTTCAACATTTGAAAAAAATTCTCGTAAAAATCCCAAATATCTTCATAAATAATAAAATTCTCCTTCAAAATTCAATTATTTTCATAAATGTCAAAAAAAATTCTTGTCCTAATTTCAATTATTTTCAAAAATAAAATGCATTTTTCTAATTTCAATGATTTTCAATATCTATACTATTTTAATAAAATTTCCCAAAAAGAATTCAATTATTTAAAAACAATTTTAATAAAATTGTATGCAAACATTTAATTATTTTCATAAATAATAAAATTTTTTTAAGGAATTCAATTATTATTTCCATAAAAAATAATTTAAAATTCTAGAAAATAATAATTGAATTAAAATGATGAAAATAATTTTGATGAAGTTATAGTAAAATTCCAGAAAACATTAAATTATTTTTAAACATTTTTTTAAAATTCATTGAAAAAGTTCAATAATATCAATAAATAGTAAATTTTTCACAGGAATTTAATTATTTTAAAATTTAAATACAATTCTAATAAAATTCTATTTAAGAATTCAATTATTTTCAGAAATAATTAAATTGTGAATATACTGAAAATCATTGAGTTCTTGTAAAGTATTTTTTATAAAACTTTGAAAATAATTGAATTTATTTCAAGAATTTTATCAACGTTTTTTGAATAATTGAATTCTTTCGAAAAAATGTAGTTAAAATTGTATTGAAAATAATTACATTAAAATTATTTGTAGAAAATTAAATTTTTTTAAACAATTTTATTATAGTTTTTGTAAATAATTACACTTTTTTCAAGAATTCCATTAAATTTCGTAAAAATATTGTAATTTTTTAAAGTGATTTTAATTGAAAATTTTGAAAATTTTGAAAATAATTGAAATTTACAAAGAATTTTATTAAAAACTTTTGAGAACAATTGAATTGCTTAAAAAAATATTATTACAATTTTTAAAAATAATTGAATTGCTTCGAAGGATATTTTATCTCAATTTTTGAAAATAGTTGAATTTTTAGAAAGAATTTTATTAAAAATTTTGAAAATAACTATTTTTTTAAAAAGATGTCATTAAAATTGTGGAAAATAATTGAACTTACACTAACATTCTTGAAAATAATCGAATTTAATTAATATTTTTTAAAAATAATTGTATTCTTTCTAGAAATTTGATTAAAATTGTATTGAAAATAATAATTGAAAATAATAAAATGTCTTGGCAAAATTTTTATTCAAATTCTTTAAAATAATTGAGTTTTGAAGAATTTATTTCAATTTTCTTGGAAATAAAAGAGTTTTTTAAAAATATTTTTTACTAAAATTTTTGAAAATAATTGAATTTTAAGAAGAATTTCTTTTAAGTTTTTAAAATAATCGTGTTTATTATTCGTTAATTACAATAAACTATTTTCCTATTAAATTATATTATAAAATTATTCATAGAAAATTAAATTCTTTTAAACAATTTTATTATAGTTTTTGTAAATAATTATATTTTTTTTTAAGAATTTCATTAAATTTCGTAAAAATAATGTAATTTTTTAAAGTAATTTTAATTGAAAATTTTGGAAATAATTGAAATTTACAAAGAATTTATTTTATTAAAATCTTTTAAGAACAATTGAATTGATTAGAAAAATGTTATTACAATTTTTAAAAATAATTGAATTGTTTCGAACGATTTTAACTGAATTTTTGAAAATAGTTGAATTTTTAGAAAGAATTTTATTAAAAATTTTGAAAATAACTGTTTTTTTAAAAAGAATTTCATCAAAATTTTTGAGAATAATTAAATTTATATTAAAATTCTTGAAAATAAATAAATAATCGAATTTAATTAATAGTTTTAAAAATAATTGTATTCTTTCGAGAAATTTTATTAAAAATTTTATTGAAAATAATTGAATTGCTGTAAAAGATATTATTTCTGAGAATAATGAAATTCTTACGACAAATTTGAGGAAAATTTTTGAATAAGAATATTTATTATTATGTATTCAATAAGTGAAGTCTTTAAATTTTAAATCTGTAATCATTCAAAAATTGATGTTTATTCTTGAAAATATAAAATTTTTTAAATTTACAATATAATAAGAAATGGAATATAATAATATATTAATAATTATTAATAGAATAGTTGAATCATTTTTAACTACTATAATTATGAATACTTGAATTATTAATTCGTAAAATTATTAGCACCATGAAAAAAGTACCAAAAAAGCAAGTTTGTAAAATATGGAAAATTTATTTTAAATTTTAATCTTAATGGGAATTTATGTATACTTTAGATTTGAGAATCTCCTTTTATATAGAATAGTCTCCTGATTAATAGATTTGTTTATTCTTGTTAGGGAGTCATTTAAATTTCTCTATATAGATAGAGAGTCAATTTTGAAACAGTATATTTGTATAGTTGAAACAAAGGTTAGAGATTGAGGAGAGAAATCTATTTGTAATAGATAAAGAGAGGAATAAATCTTTTGGCTTCTGTTTTTCTCATCTATTGATTGCATATATTTGGGTACAATATTTAAGTATATTTAAAATGTCATATTTAATGTAATATTAAATTTTTTCCACAGAAAATAACTAATTTAAAAATTAAATTAAAAAAAATAAATAAATTTAAAAGAAAAATTAAATAATAAAATAAATTTTTTAAAAATTAGTTATGATATGCTAAGTATAGGAAAACGAAATAATATAGAATTAACTACAATTATTGAAAAAAAGAAAAAAGAGGAACGAAAATTAAACTTATGAATAATAAAATATTTGTTAAATAACAGAAAAACAATATTCATCTAAAATTAAAACTAATTAGTAAATTAATATAATTAAAATGATAAAATTGATTTTCTGAAAACTATTCTTTATTCCAAATATTTTACATGTAACTTATAATTAATAATATATATTTTTATTTTTTCAGATAGTTGATCCAGGAGAGGTAACTGTCAGGCAGAAATTGTAATGGTGAGTTTTTTTATTACGTTCACTAATTTTCAAAAATTTTATTAAAAATTTAGTAAATATAGTTTCTGGTTAATTTTTTTTTCCATAAAGATAAAAGCGCTTTAATCTTTAACCACTGGGAATTTTTTCGGTGAACTTTTAATAGTCGCAGCGTTCCCTCCCGCCCGTATCAGAAAATCAAAAATTTTCCAATGGTCAAAAACAAAAATTAATAACTCGGAATATTTTCAATAACCAAAATTCTTCATCTTGGTCTATCATTACAACCAATGTTTTTATACGCATTTTTATTTTTTTTTTGTAATTATAGTTACAAAATCGACGAAAATAGTTTATTTTAAAGTCTAAAGTATATGATTATTTAGAGAGAATAAAAAACTAAAAGAGATTGAGGCCAGGACAGGATTAACGGTATTTTCAATATACCAGTTAATTAATAAGCATAATAACAACATCCCAAAAGTTTCTAATATCATTAGAAAAACTGCTACCCAATATAAAGGGAAACCCGAGAATCGAGATAATGACATTTTTAGAGAATGAATTTGAAAATATTTTATAAATCACATTTTTTGCAATCGCATCATTAGACCCTTCGTGTTTTTTTCACCGCCTAATAAAAGAATGAATGAACACTTTTTTTTACTGTTTAACATAAAAGGCGTTCCGAAATGTTTACTCGTTTTTATAGATATTGTATAAAATATATACACGTGTCTAATTTAAACAGGTGAGATTCTAGAACCTAATCAACTGTATATGTTGGAAAAAGGCAGCTGACTGTAAAATTACGAAATTAACTTTCGTCATCATTAACACCTAACTTTGTATAGTATATGTGTATGTATGTTTTCAACTGCGCGGAGAATGGAATGTGCGATAAGAAAAGAGTGTGGAATTGGAATCGTGTGAATATAGTCTTTACAACTCTATTCGCGCAATAGTTTCGCAGTAATAGAGACAGAGAAGGCGCAGGTGTATGTTTTCAAGGTTTGGTTAAGCCATTACTGTGGATTTAACCAGAAACGAATTACGACTTTGGGTTAACGATCGTTATAACTGCCATTGCAGTTTAAGTTTTCAAACGAATTATTTTATTTATTAGCATACTCACCAAGTAATGCTTGCTCTCCAAAAGTTGACTTTGGAATTACAGACTCAATTTTCTCATATTATATAGATTTTCACTGGTGAATTGAAATGTAAATTTATTCTGGTTCCCCCCCCCAAAAAAAAGAAGAATAAAGTAAAGCATTTCGTAAAGTGCATTTTCGAATTTTAGAGGGCAAACAGACTGCAAAGGAAATCAGGGATCACAGCAATTGTTTTCTTTAAAATATTGGTAAAAAGATGAATAATATTTTTCGAAAATAAGTGATATAGAAAGGTACAAATGTTAAATAAAAAATTTAACGTGTCGTGTGGAAACTGGAAAGTAAAACTTGTGTCTGACATATAATTTTTTAATTTTTTATTTAGAAACCTGAAAAAATCAGGGAATTTTGATTGAAATCCTAAAAAACTATTGTTTTCTAAAATCTAATTTTTCTTTAATTCAATTTTCTTCATTCAAATTTCTTAATTCAATTTTAAAAGAGTTGCCTTCACAATTTTTCTTCGCAATAATTCATCTATTTTCATAAATAATCAAATATTTTTTACAGAGATTCAATTATTTTCATAAATAATAAAAAACTTTATAGATTTACAATTATTTTTATAAATAATATAACTCATCGCAGAATTTCAATTATTTTTAATACAATTTTAATGGAATTTCTCGAAAAATGTAATTATTCGTCAAATTTTATTAAAATTCATCAAAGAAATTCAATTATTTTAAAAAGTTTTCCTATAATTTATTTATTAGAATTCAAGTATTATTGTCAATACATTTATAATTCAATGTCTTCAAAAAATCCAATTATTTTCAAAAATTTTAATCAAATTCTTTTTAACAATTTAATTTATTTTCAAAATAATTTTAATAAAATTCTTCGTAGAAATTTCATTAATTTCTATAACTTATAAAAATTCAATTACATTCAATATCTACTCTTTCAATAAAATTTTACAAAAGAATTCAATTAGGTATTTAAAAAGAAATATTATTCAAAAATTCGTCTGAAGAATTCAATTATTTTCAAAAGTAATAAAATTCTTCTTAAAAATTTAATTATGGTCAAAAGTTTGAAAAAACTATCGTCAAAATTTCAATTATCTTTATAAATATTAAAATTTTTCTCCAAAATTCAATTATTTTCAAAAATTTTAATGAAATTCTTTTTAACAAATTCAATGATTTTCAATATCTACTATTTTAATAAAATTTTCCAAAAGAAATTAATTATTTAAAAAATTTGTCTATAAAATTTTAAGCAAACCTTTTATTTTTTTTAAAAATAACAAATATTTCACAGCAATTAAATTATTTACAAATTTTTTATAAATTTCTTTGCAATAATTCCCTTCTTTTAAAAAATATTCAATTTATTTTCACAGAGATTCAATTATTTTTATAAATATTAAAGAACTTTTTCAAAAATTATTAAAAATAATAAATTTATGGAAGATGTTTAGTTGAAAACACGAAAAAAATTCAATTTTGTAAAAGTTAGAAATTATTGCAAAAAATCAATTATTCTCAAGAGTTATAATATTCTTCGCAAAAATTAAATATTGTTCAAAAGTAATAAAATTCTTCTTAGGGATTCAATTATTTTCACAAATAATAAAACTTATTGCTGAATTTCAATTATTTTTAATACAATAAATTTTAATCGAATTTCTCGAAAAATGTAATTATTCTAAAAAATTTTGTAAAAATTCATCAAAAAAATTCAATTTTTTGAAAATGTATTCATAAAATTTTTTATGAGAATTCAATTTTAAGAAACATTTAATAATTATTCAATATATTATTTATTTTTGTTTTTAAATAATTGAATTCTAGTAATTTTCTAATAAAAATTTATTTTAAAAATGAATTTCAGTTAAAATTTTAGATTATAATTGAATATTAAAAGCATTAGAGTGTGAATTTTTAGGAATAATTGAATTTTAAAAATGTTTCAAATTAAAATCTTTGAAAATCTGAATTTTTCATTTTTTTAACTAACAATTCTGTGGAATTAATTTTTTTTGGAAAATTATTTTCATAAATAACAATATTCAATACAAGAATTCAATTATTTTCAAAATTAAAAAAATTCTTCACTGAAATTAAATTATGTTCAAAAATTTTTTTAAAACTCTCGTAAAAATTTCAATTATTTTTATGAATAATAAAATTCTTCACCGAAACTCAATTATTTACATTACTTTTAAAAAAATTCTTGTAAAAAATCCAATTATTTTCAAAAATTTTCTAAAATAATTGAATTATTTATAAACATTTTGATTAAATTCTACGCAAACATTTATAAATTATTTTCATAAATAATAAAAATTTTACAGGAATTCAATTATTTAGAAATTTTTTATAAAAAAAATAATTCGCAAAAGTTCAATTATTTTCATAGGTTTCAAAATATTTCAATTTGAAATTTTATAAAATTTTTAATTTGAATGAATTTAAACAGAAATTTTAAGGAACTTAGATTTTTGAAAAATTTTAATAATTCAAATTTAAATTTTTTATTTAAAAACACAAAAAAAAATTGAATTTGGGAGAAGTTACAAATGTTTGTAGAAATTTAATGATATGTTCGAAAAATTTTAAAAATTCTTGTCAAAGTTTCAATTATCCTTAAATATTCTTCGCAAAAATGAAATATAAATATTTATATTTATATTTTCTAATAATAATTGATTCAAATATAAATTTCAGTTAAAATGGTAGATAATTGAATTTCGATTTTTGAATGTTTGAATTTTTCATACTTTTAACTAAAAGTTGTGTAGATTTAATTTTTTTGAAAAAGTTTAATTGAATTTTTTTGAAGTTATTTGAAGTTTTTATTTTCTAATATTTGATTGAAGAATTTCCGAATAATCGATAAAGTTTCGTAAAATTGAATTGTAAACAAAAGGATTTGAAAATGTTGAAAGAAATGTTTTAAAAATTATTAATAATAATAATTAATAATAATTAATTTACACTTTATAAAGAAGAATTTTAGTTAAAAATTTTGGAAAACAATAATTGAATTAAAACTATGAAAGTAATAAGTTTTTTTAAATTATAATCAAAGGTATAGTCTTTACTGGTATTCAATACGAACGGTATTCCTAATTTCCATTATTAGGAAATGAAAATAAAGTTATAATCGATGGTTAGTAATTTATAATAAGTGATTTTCCGTCTCATATCCTTAAAAATTATATTTTCGCCATTCAATCTCCGTGGAGCGTGACAAATTTCGTCAAGTATCATGCGCATTATTACATTCGTATATTAACTCTCTCACAGGACAAAAAATTAATTCACGGTACTCATGCGCATGACCTTTTGGCTGCGCGGAATGGAAAAAAGAAACCCCCCTCAGTTTAAAAGGACTCAAGAAAAAGTACAGCTAACAAATGATGATTTAATGAGCTCATCTCTTACTCCGAATATGGAGTCGCATTACTGGTAATGAAACGATTAAAAAGAACATCCTCCTACCTCGGCAGGCTCATTAAATATTGTATTTCTTATTTTTCTTTTTATTACTTTATTAAAATAGCATCAAATTATCATTAACTTACTTAATACTTGATACTAAATTATCAAGGAATATAACGTCCTCTTTTAATAATTTTTGAGTTTAAAAATAAAGGAAAACTTGCCCCGGTCGAGTCGTAAATATTGTACCAGTTATTAATTAATGCTCAATTTCTTTTGCGATTCCGTGCATATAAGTATTTAAAAATAATTTTTTTTCCCAGTCGAAACATAAATATAACTTATACATTGATAAAGATATTTTAGCGCTTAAAGTTATGTTGGAATTTAATATTCAGTTAATTTGGATATTATTTATTGAAATTTTATCATTTTTTGCCGTGTTACTTATTTG